GGCTAGAAAGTGTTAATTTGTAATTCGTACATGTATATTATCTTCATATGATTGAAAAATTACCCTATGGATGTTTTCCTGATATATTTATGGAACTTATTAGAGTGCTATTATATTAGCAATAATAGTCATATATGTCCGTTTGCGCTAGAATTAATATAAAAAATAAAAGGTATATCACACGTATTGTGTCAATGAAAAAATACTATTTCCAACAAAGTAACTAAAATGTTTTATTAACAAATCATCATTTAGTTTTTCTCTTGCGTCTGGTTTTCTTTGTTGGATCTAAACCGAAGTCATTACTGTCGCTTGTATTATCTTTCCACTCCTTCTTCAATTCTTGTAACATGTTAGGAGTAATCAACCCCTGAGCCAAAAGTCGCTCAGTTAATTTACCACGGCCAAATTGAGATCCCTTTCGTTCTGGAATAAGAAAAATGAAATTATAATACTGTGTGACATACAATGAAAACAATAACTCTTTACAAATATTTAAATTACGGAATGTTCCATAAAAAGTAAACTTAAGTAATTTAATTATTAAAAAGATAAAAGGTTCCCACTTGTCAAACATTTCGTAGTACGAATACAATACTCTCTAAAAGACATTAGTTTTGCTAATGATGGTAATTTGAAAAATAAGGGATGGAATCTTTTGAGATAATGAAGTATGGCAAGGCAATACCTCTCAAGTAATTCTGTTTGTTGCTGTTCAACGAGAACTCGTCCTCGTCTGGTGTCCCGCCGGACGACACTCCCGTTTCCGAATTTCTAAGCAACCGAGTGATTTGAACTACGCCCTGCTGGATCACAGCGTCCAACTCCTTCTGCATATCCCTGACCAACTGCGCATCGCCGAATAAATCCATGAAACGATAGCTGCAAACAAACCCTTTATTCTGTTCGTTAACAAAAGGTAAGAAGTTTGTTCATACCTTAACCATAAATATAAATCTAATACATCGAAGACAGCTTCCAAATGAACTAAGTCTATGATAGTTTTTGGCGTCTGCACTGGCCAGCCAATATTCCTACATAACCAGTCAAAAGTAACCCTTTCGTTTTTGCTGTATTGTCTGGTGAACTGTGAACATATTAAAATTAGGAAATAGTTGACACGATTATTTCACATAAAAATGTTAAAAAATTTATCATATTTCCAATTCATAAGAATTAGTTATTTACAGATTTAGTAGTACTTATTTATGGTTGTTTGTTTTTATTTGCGGGAAAATTAATGTGTATTAGCAGATAGACAGAATACTAATTACATACCTTGAGGAACATTGTGCAAACAAATGGCATTTTCTTGTTGATTGGTGCACAACAGAATACATATCTTGCCCTTAAAGGCAATGGGACGTGTTGAATCATATCTGCTAGGAATTTGAAATCTTCTATGTTGCACATGAAATAGAGCGAATCGTCCACAGTAGATAAATTCACGAATATGTCCTTTAATTAATGTTGAATTACTACGTGCAACATATAAATAAAATAATATACAAACCATTAAATTGCTAAGACTTGAATTTGGTAAATGGTATGCGTAGAGTTCAATTTGTTCAGCTGTTGGATGTAGACCGGCTTGAGTAATGGGTTCAGTGGGTGATGCTAAAAGTGTCTTCAGGGTATGCAAATCTTCCGGTTTAAAGGTGGTAACGGAACCCTGCTCCCATTGAGTCCCGTATCTTCCGGCTCTCCCGGCAATTTGCAACGCCGAGGACACCGAAATCGTATCCATTTCCTTTTCACCTTTCTCGTTTATCGTCGGTTTAATTAGCGAATAAAAAATTACTCGTCGAATACTCCTGCATTAAATTGTTGAGATTATTAGTCAATTAATTTTTCTAGTTCTGAAAATATTACAAATTTAGTCCCATACCGATGGCGTCGGTAGCCACCAAGATTTTGCAGCTATTGTCGACATCATTGAATTTGGCAGCTTGCGCCAATTTCGTATTCGGTGGTAAACCTCCGTAAATTACAGCAACTTCTTTACCCGAAGCTTCGATTCCTCTGGAAACTGAATAAATATCATTTTTGCTGAAGCATACTATGCAATCTCCAGGTTCGACTTTATCCAAACTGCCTGAAAATTTACCATGTTAGCGTTTGCAAATTACAATATAACTTTACATTACCTATAGCAGAGTCCTCAATTTTCAATTCAGTTAATCTTTTGTAATTCCTAATTTCTACATCTTCACCAGTTGTTAAACATAGTTGTCGTATTAAATCGATCGCGCCGGGCTCTCCGCACAAATGGATTTCTTCAGCGCAAATACCTAGAAGCGCTCTCGTCCAAGCCCAACCTCTGCCAATATCCCGGATCATTTGGATCTCATCAATTACAGCCACCTCATATGATGTATTCACAGAGGTCATTTCCACTGTACAAGAAACATGAGATGATGCATTCCCCAATGGATCAGCATAGTTCCTCTCTTCTCCAGTAATCAAATCACACGGAGTACCTCTGGTATTAGATTTATTAAAAACTTCATTAGCTAAGAGCTTAAGAGGTCCACAATAAACACCAGATTTTGCTGTCATGAACCTCTCCAAGGCGTGATATGTCTTCCCACTATTGGTGGGTCCTGCATGAAAGACAATCTTCCTAGTCATACCTCTGGCTTCTGGATACCAGTTTGCAGGAGTCCTTAAATCAGAAATCTTCCTGAGATCATCCATGCATTCTAAATGTGGAAACATCTGTTTGGCATGCCTGAGGAAATAAGGAAAAATGTCTGTGGCATTTCCCGCTCCTTGTAATATATCACTGATAACTACATGCAAGTCAACAGGAAGTGTCTGCGCCTCCAAACAGTATCTCCTAAAGCTCACATAAGCCTGATGCTGCAAGTATTCTACAAAACAAATTTAATTAAAATAAGCCATAACAACTTTTAAAAAAATTACGATCTAATCCATTGTCCGAGAGTAACTGTTTTATTTCCCTCTTCTGGTAGAATTTATTAAGGACTTTAAGTAAATCTGCTTTGTTCAAGGTGCCAGTTAACTCAGCCCCAACATTGATATCATCCGGAGTGGGTTGCACAGGCACAGGTATGAATAAAGATGACAAACTGTTGGAATCATCCTTCTTTCCTCTGATTTGCTCGAAACGCAAAGATGTTGCAACTCTGTTCAGATGGGGCTGAAACTTTTGTAAATTTTGTGCTGCGCCGCACAGGAGCCTCAGTCGCTGCGTATTTTTCAACATTTAAAAAAAATTTAAAGTAAAATTAAAATAAATTCAAAACTGCATTTCACTAAGCTCTTGGTATCATTTTATTTTAAGGTTAGGGTTTTACCCTCAGAACATGACATGTGATACAGATTATTTAATTACAGGTTTAAAATGTTTATTTCCAATTGGTCACAGTTAGTTAAATTGTAACACTGTTCGAATTTAATTGTTTTTAAAAAGTTGATTATTTACTCGACAGTGGTTCAGGCAACCAAGTATACGTGCTGAGAATTATTTTATTTTACGGTATAGTATAGTAGTATTTCTAGATGCAATTATAATTGTTGTTAAATCAAAATAATATTATAATAAGCATTTTGTATAGTCGCCTTATGACTACGATGAAGTATATTGGAGATGTTGCAATTAGAGTTGCATCCATGTAGATGTTTCCTCTCTTTTTGCACAGCCGACCTTGGTTTTAGTTCTGAAAATCCGTACGAAATTCGCTGGGAAAAAGGCACAAAAACAATACGAGCGAATTACATCATGGCAACCGACGAATAACAAGATTTTGTTTCATATTTGAGCGGGCATTAATAGTGTTTTGGCAGTCGTTGTCCATCATCGAAACAACGAGAAACTGTTTTTAATCGTGTTTTATTTTAGTTTTATTTTCTCGTTTGAATAAGTTGGAGGCTGATTTTCAACGAAAATGGACTCCAATGAGGCGGAGGATAAGCAGAAAAGCGCAGGAGATTCGGCGGTAGCATCGCCCAAAGAAAGTGAGTACATTTTTTGTTCGTAAAATTATGTATTGTTTTGTTTATTATTGGGGGACTCTGGATGAGGAATTACGGTAGTTCCATTTGGTTGCCAATTGGATTTCCTATATTAATTGGAGATGAGTAAGTGCTAAAGTATTTTTGCCAGTTGAGATGCGCTTATGTGGGCGCAGATAACATTTTTATAATAATTTATAGAATTATATTATTTCTTAAAGATACGTTATGCTTTTTTTTCTCTCTTCACAAGGTCTGACATTTTAAAAAAACTTTGGCAATACATTCAAATCTATTGATTTCTTTGAAAACGTTGATACGCAGTAAATTGTCCTCAACTGTGTTTTTTTTTTGTATTTTGCAAATATAAATATAATTTACACAATATTTACATTGTGGAGATATTTTTTTTACATTCAATTTATATTTATTTTAATACTTTTTGCGATATGCCGTCAGACCGACAACATTAAATCAAAATAAACTGATTTCATAATGTATTCTGCTAATTGGGTTTAAAATTAAAAAATATATTTATTTGCTTTTACTTACAATTTTCGATTCTTCTATAGTATTTATGTAAGACGCTGATATAACGCGGTTAATGTGACTCCGATTAACGCTTACCTAGGAACGCTTAAACGCTCGAGCGTCTTACTGTATAATATACAGTGTATATGTATATTTTAGGACCTAATAATTATTAACCAGTTTAATTATAATTCGGTTGTATTCAATTTTAGTAAGCTCATTAAATATAAATAAGAATATATTTGAAACTTTCATCATACCAAGGACTGAAACTCATCTTCTGATTGTTGCTCCTGAATCAAATGTTATCAAAACTTTATATTTTTATTAATTTAGTAATTTTTTATGTTATTTTCTCTAATTATGGTTTTAAAAATACTCACAGGTTTTAGTAGTAATATTTGCTCAATTATACTTATCATTATATTATATATGTACCTTTTATACATGATAGGTTGGTAGATTCATTTTTTAAATGACCAATAAGTGTAAACGTTCAAGTGCCTATTTTCTTGATAAAATAAATCTGCTTCAATCATACCAAGGTTCAATAATACTGAAGTATTTAACATCTACATTATACACCTACACAGAGAATCACTTAATCATTATAGTTTGATTACTTGAACATTTAACAATGTATGATTTCCACTTATCTATAATAACCGTATTTTCTTTTTTGTTTAACATTATTAAATGTAAAAAAGTTCAATTAAATGATTAAATAAATATTTCATATAATAATTATATTCTGTACTTATATATTCAAAATTAGTTAGAGGATCAGGGTAGCAGCAAGGAAATCTTGCGCCCCTTCAAAAGAAATCAAAGGAGTCAAATATCTATTTTTTTATTTTCGCAAGAAACAATACTGTTACATATTACTTGCTCGCATACTCTAAATATATAACAAAAATAAATATAAACAAGTACATAATTAATAAACTCCAACATTGAAATGATTTCTCAAACATAAAAGCAACAATAATAAACCAAATTAAAAGAGAAAACTTGACCAAACGTCATCGCGTTTTTACATCTAAAATTTATTTATAAGCATATTCATTATGTATTATTCATTCTGGTGTTCTGATATTTTGATAATACGCGCATTTACAGTGGAACCTCGCTTAACGACTATAATCCGTTCCAGAATTCTAGGATTTGCCAACTAGACAATATTATTCTTATTTTCTATCAATCACTTTGGCGACCACTGGTTTAGATTCTAACGAGCACCACCCATAACGAGCATTTCGCTTAATGAGCAAAATGAATTGTAAGAAAAATGACTCGCTTAACGAGCGACGATTCGAATAACCAGTGACGATGAGATTAGAAGTCATTGTGCGCCTGCTACATCATTTTTAAAACTTGTGTACACATATATGTATTTTTTAATATGTAATCCGAGTAATAATCCGGAAATTTTGCAACGGATTAAACTCGTTTCAGTTCTAACATAATAAGTATTATCAAAGGAAATGAAAGTAAAACTAGGATTACATTTATTTGGAAATAAAATATTTGTTTTGTGTAATAATTATTTTTTTATATATAGATTTATATTCAATTTTTGACTAAAGCAATATTTTCATAATTATCCCCTTTCTGATTAGCATGTTTACTGATTATATATGCCTTATTATATTATAATGCCTTTAATCGATATTTTGATAATTCACTTATGTATGTATTATGAAACGAGGTGAGATTTCAACAGTCCTTAGAATCAGTAGTTTGGTCTGGACTGTATCTGCTAGGATTGTTGTACCTGGAATTCGCGGGACAAATTTCCCGGGTCTTTTAGAAAAATATATACTCTCGATACCCAGGAATTACCATTCGAGACTCGAGATATTTTAAAATTGATTTTGAATACAGTAACTACCTTATTTTTTTGTCATATTTATTTAATCTCAGGGACTTTACCGTGTTTGAATGGCGAATACAAATAATAGAGTAAAGCGCAGCGTTCTGGTTTAGCATTTTAGCATTTATTCACGAAAATTCTAGATTTGACAATAATTAAGTATTGTTAAATTAAATGTTAATATTAAGTACTGTTTAAGTATTTTAAGTGCACTGCTAAATTTATTTATTAACCAAAAATCAAACAATGAACATCAATCATATTCAAGCATGAAAACATTAAAAAAAAAACAATGGAGATACAGGGCAAAGTCGAAAAAACGATAATTATCTATTATGACTTTATTGAAATATCTACATAATCCAGAAACTTATAAATCTGGAGAAGATTTTTTTCTAGTTGTTCAAAATCAGCCATAATTTCATTTGCTGAATTCCCTGAACTGTGTTCAGATTGAACAGTTTCCCGGGAATAAAAATAAAAGGCGAAACTATGCACACTAGGGTTGGCAAACTGCAAATTGCGACATACTATTATGCCGCCATAAAAAAATTGGTGTGCCACAAAAAAAACTATTTACCTAGTGGACCGTGATGTTACGCAGACAGTGGTTTGGATGAAATGATTTGTGTTAGTTTAGCATCCTCTTGGAAATGGAAGACAACAAAATGCATTTTATACTTTGATACTTTTTATTACTGGAAAGCCAAAATGCCATTACAGTAGAAATAAACAAACAAAATCAATGAGTTTTCCTGTAAATATAACTTTAAAAGTACGAGAAAATATAAATAAACATAAAGTAAATAAGAAAGCAATTTGTGTGGCTGACACAAATCATAAGATTTAGCGTTTATATTATGAAAACAACAAGCTGAATCACAGGAATATTGTTTGTAAAATATTTTGTTTATGTTAAGTAGCATATTGTTTAAAATTGTATGGTTTGTTATCTAAGATATTTATTGATTAGTTGCTATTATCAACATAATAAAAATAGTGTTATAGTTTATTTGATCAGTTTTATTTTATCATTTGATATGTACAGTTTGACAAATACAATTCTATTAGTAATTGCTAAATTTTAGTGGCGTCGTGAAACTTGCTTGTGCCGCTTATATGAAATCATGAGAAATAAAGGAAAATTTTGCAGTAAGTTATACAGAAATAATATTGATATAATAACAAGAGAAAGATTTATTTGGATTTTCTATTAGCGTAAATTAGGCCTAACATATTTATAAATAAATAAAATAAATAATTGATTGATTGCCTTCAAAATGCTATTTATATAATTAAATTTTTGGTTTATATTTTTTTTCATATTGAATAAGAATAAAGATCTGTCAATTTATATTTGACTTATGTTTTGTTTCAGAAAAAGAAGAGCCTGTGACAAAGAGAACATTTAGACAGAAGGTATGGAATCATCTAGAGCAGAACAAATTGGTGAACTTTCCACGTCCAGTGTATGGACGTATTCCCAACTTCGTAGGAAGCGAAGAGGCAGCTGCTAAGTTGCTCGATTTGGATGAGTTTAAAGCAGCCAACTCTGTTGAAGTGAATCCCGACAAAGCGCAGGAGGCTTCCAGAATTGTCGTATTGGAACAGAAGAAGAAATTATATGTGCCTGTTCCGAGATTGAAGGAGGCCCTGCTGAAGTTGATTTCGGTCTCACAGGATGCCTCTAAAACAGATATCAAGAGTGCCGTCAGCCGAAAGGGCGTCGAGGAGAGCGGCACATCGATTAACATCGACGATTCTGTAAACATCGACCTTCTGGTTGTTGGAAGCGTTGCTGTTTCTATGACCGGATACAGAATTGGAAAGGGCAAGGGCTATGCCGATTTAGAATTTGCATTGTTGATGGAACTGAATGCGATCACCGACAAAACGACCGTTGTTACTGTTGTCCACGATTCGCAAGTGTTCGAAGAATTGCCCTCAGATATATTTAAACAGTACGATGTACCTGTGGATTATATCCTCACACCTACGAGGACCATCAAGGTGCAAAATAGATTGCCTAAACCGAAGGAGATCTTCTGGAAAATGTTGTCGAACAGGAGACTGAACCTTATGCCGATTCTGCAGGCCCTCAAAGAAATTGATGAAAAGTTATTTATATGATATATTTCAAATAATAAATTTTATTGGTGTATATTTTTTTAGAAAAGGAATCGATGTGGCTCTGAAAGAGGTCGATACGGACGTTGAATCGTACGAGTCGAGGAGATTCCATAGATCAAAGAGATTTCCGCGCAGAAGACCAAGATCAGCTGGCAAAGCTTCTGAATCGCAAGGCGAAGACACATCTAAAAACGAGAATAGAAAACCACGGAGGTTTCCTAAGCCTAGATATTATCGTTCTAACAATCAGAAATCCGATGCGGATAGCAATGAGGTAAATATGTTCAAAATCTTTATATTTACACCTTTATTTAGTTTATATAATAATTTTAAATTTGTTTTTCGATAACTTAAAGTCAATTTTATTTTTCATCAAAGTTTAACACAACTTCCGTTTTTTAGTGTATGACAATAAGTATGACTAACAAGTCTGTAGTCATTGGTTTAAAAATAGTTTTCTTTTAATATATGCGAAGTGAATAGTGAACAAAACTCGTGTGAAATAAATCATCTACAATATTAATTCACATCATATCGACGAAAATTGTAAATGTATGCTAGTCAGCGCTTCTCAAAATAGCAATACTCAATTTTGAAAATATTTGACATCCGCCGATCTAGTCTAAATGAAATTTTTGATGATGATGATGAGGTGAGGACGTTTACCGTTTAAAATATTGCAAATTTGTTTGACGCAAAATGTCTCAACTTTGATGTTATTGTATCAATCATAAAACATCGGCGCAAATAAATACATTTTGGAGTAATAGGTATAAAAGATTATATTCTGTTCAAAAGTTATATACAGTTATATGTATTTAGTTATAGCAGCGGTCGCCAACCTTTTTGACCTCACCTCAAATTTTGAAATCGCACGGACATACAATGATGCTATTCCATAAAAAATTATAAATATGAAATCATACACTTCTTTTTTACATTGGATCTTTTATAAACACGCTACTTAAGGCATAAATTGCAAAAAAAACATTCTTTACATTGCATACTAACCTTAAATTCGTTTGCTTGTTTTCTATTCTCTTTGGGAAGTAGAATATTGTCTTTGTACACATTTGGACCCGATATATCTTTGATTATTATCCTAATTAATACTAATGGTCTTCATAATATGTATACCACAGGATCTTATATTTTCTAAGATTAAGAAGTTTTATTTACTTTATTACGTTTTAGGTTGTCGAGAATGGTAATTTGCGTAGGCCATTACGCGCTACAAACGGTAGCAGATATAAGAAGTCGTACCGAAGGAATAAGCCCGTGATTGACTTCTCGTTGATGGTGAGCAACATAGAGAAGAACGTGCGCGTTAGGGATCTGAAAAACGCACTCAACGAACGTGGAATCAAACCGAACGAAATTACCTGGAGAGGTTACAAAGGCTTTTGCTATTTGCATTACGCGAAGCCAACAGCTCCTAAACAGAGCAAAGAATTCAAGGATGAGGAGCCGGCCGCCGTTGCGCCGCCCCCGTTACCCGCCAGGCCTCCTATTATCGTCGACAACGTGATTGAGATTCTGCAGGGGTTGAAGATATCCCCAGAATCTGAGTCGAATTTGAGCGTGAAGGTCCTGAGGCTCAACTCTAGGATCGAGACGACTGACGTTACGGCTGTTTGAGGTCTGCGCTTTCGCGTGCCGACCAAATAGTGATTATTATTCGTATTAATATTCTGTTTTAAAATACCAAATATTTATATAATTATTATTGTGTTAGCTTTTCAATACTTTAACCATTTTTATTTAATATTACCTACTACACATTACCTTTCAATATTTTTTTTCTTCGTTTACTGTTCTTATCACATTAACATTTGTTTTAGTTTATTTTTGTGTTTTTGTGTTTTTATATATAAATATATATGAGACTGTTACGAGGTTTTCTTTATAAAAAAAACACGAAAGGGCCTGAATTGANNNNGGATATTTTATAAAAGAAAGTTTTATATATCTATTTTCAAAATAAAGTTAATTTATAAATTAAGCTAATTGTTATTCAGTGTTGCATATGTTTGATGTTTCACAAAACAATTATATTTAATAGCTATTTCTGCACATACACCTAATACACTTTTGAGATAAATATTCATCACATAAAGAATGCATTAAAATATATTTATATCATGAGTTAAAATATTCAATATTGTGTGTTTCTTCAATTCTAAACTTAAACTGTAACAAACATTTAGAAACTACTCAATAAGTTTTAATTGTATTTACTATAAAATTTTCTTTTTGAACATATACTAATATAAATAGAAAACCCAGTATTTATATACAACTTCCAAAAATATTCACATTGAGTTGCAAAAGTTCGCAGATGTGATTAACAAGATTCTAACATTCAAGATAAACAATACTGCTAACCACGAAAACTATAACAGTATACAAACTTACATT